ATACAATGTAAAGTGCAAAACCATTGTCTCTAGATTGGAGAACATAGTCAAAGAAAGAGAGTTGACAGGTGTCACAAGATCGAGTTTTGAAGAATCCATGCTGAGCAGCACGTAGTAAGTTATTCACTGTTAAGTGACACATCATTTTATCTTTAATCAATTTCTCTAAGATCTTCGAAACTGCGGGGAGGGTGTTTATTGGCCGAAAGTCATAAAATGATGTAGATTTTCCGTGCTTAGGAATGTGCAGAATGTGTGATTCCTTCCACAGGATAGGATAGGTTTCAGTTTCAAGAGCAAGATTAAATATCTTGCATAAGAGTGATGGGAAGATCGTGTTTGCATCGGCTTTTAAAATGCTTACTGGGACACCATGAGTGCCTGGACTATAAGATTGACGAAAACGCCGAATCGCAACAGTCACATCCCACAGAGTGAATGTTATAATTTTTAGAACTGCCCCGGTCAATGGCTGGATGGTCGGAAGCGGAGTGGTCGAGTTTTCAATGAACGTTTTGGACAAGAAATCATTGAAGCTATCAGCGGTTAACTGGACATCAACTATGGGTTTTCCGAGAGCGTCTTGGAGGATGGGATGCTGCGTCTTTCTATGAGTTCGTATTTTCTAGAGAAAAGTTACGAGACATTAAACGAACGGTTGTCGGTAAACTGGACCTCTTCGGCTAGCTGTTTTTCTTCAGAAAATCTCTTAGCTCGATCAAAAATATCACGAATCAAGGGCAGGACAGAAACGTCGTTCTGAAGATGGAAACGACGATAAAGCCTGCGCAATCTGCGACGAAAGGGTAAGGGTAGGAAAACCTCATCCCCAACATTAATAATTTTCTTACGGGGGACAAAACGAGAAATAAGCGGATCCAAAATTTTGTACAGATTTGCAGTGCAAACATTAACATCCGAACTAAGGAAGAAATCAGTCCAATCGTGGGAATAAAGGTGTGTTAATAATTCGGTTGAGCGAGTTGATCGGAAATTGCGGAAAAAGCTATACTTTGGGGACAACGTTTTGTCAGCCTCGAATTCCAACGCCGAAACAACTATGTCATGGTCTGAGCCCCCCAGTGGGCCTAGGGGTGACACCGACGATGGCATGCAGCCTCTACAGAAAATTAGCTCAAGTATGCTTGAGCCTCGGGTGGGAAAATCGACAACCTGATTCCACATCCCAATATCTACAGCCTCAAGAAAGTCTTCGAACCTTCTTGGGCCTGAAGGCGGAGACCAGCGGACTTCGGGAAGATTAAAGTCACCCGCAACCAATTGACACTTAAAGCTTGAGTCGGCCGCAGCATGAAATTCCTGTGAGAGTAAACGATCAAAATTTTCGTTGGCGTTGGGAGGACGATAGACGCAGCAAACGAGTAAGAAGAACTTATTTTTTAGTGCAACCTGGAGCCAGCAGCTGCCTTCTACTGCGGAAAAATTTGGGAGGTCCAACAACAAAAATGTAAGTGTTTGCTTAACGTAGACGCAGCTGCCCCCACCACGGCTATCTTGGCGATCATTTCGGATGCAATTATAGCCTAGAAGCGAGAGTTCGGAGTCAGCTACGGAGGCTGATGCCCACGTCTCAGTTACTAAAACAATATCAGGACAATGGACGAACACCTGAGTCTGAAGCAAAGGCATCTTATTAAGCAAGGATCTTGCATTTAAAACAAAAAGTTTGAAGGGAAAGGCTGTTTGTTTCTGAGGGAAGTAGGCTACATCGTCCAGTTCTGGGCTGCCCATGGAGCAAACGGTCCGGATGCAACCATCCGGTTTTGCAAAAAATTTGTGGCATGAAAGATTCTGACGTGGATAAAAAGGGGTAGGACTTGGGGGAGGGAATGACGGACAGGTGAACTGGTAACCATTGTTAGCTAACTTATTTTCAGCTGGAAATCCGCGGGGCAGATACTGCAACATATTCCCGCCGGAACGAAACTGAGGATCAGATGAGTTAACTGATTCAGTATGGACATTATCGTGAGGAATAAATTGGTAAAACGTCCGTGGAGGAAACAAGTTAGGGGGTGGGCGGACGCATTGATTCCGTTGGAGCAAGAGTTTTAGTAAACGGCGGAAAAATCGACATATTCGGCCTAAATGCCTCGATATGAGGGCTGGGTGCATTTGCGAACCCGCTGCGTTTTGAGTCGGGGTATTTGAGGCACTGTTAGCCGATTGTGGAGGAAAAGATTTTATAATGGTGCTGGATTTATTGGGTGTCCGAATGGCTGGGACAGCAATTGGATTTGCCTTTGACTTAGACACATGCTTAGGCTTACTAGGGGTTGCTGGAGGAGTCGATAGTGGCGTGTTTATACCAGGCGTGATGGTGTGTTTAAAGAGCTCAGCATTAAAAGTAGTCGAATTCCCGACGGAATTGACTATGCCGTGATATGCAGATGCCGCAGATGGTGTTGTAGAGGACTTATTCAGACTGACAGTAGGTGTCATTATCTTGGTGTTGGTTTTTGCCGGTTTTAATTTATTCAGTCTTCGCTGCAGGGGTGTGAGGTCTGGCGAAACGGAGCAGCGCCATTTACGGCAGAAGTCTCTAGTTATCTCCCTACTCGACAAGCTAAAATTGACTTCTATCATGCCGTTTGAAATTTCTGGCTGCTCATTCAGATTGCACAATCATCTCGTCAACGCAATTCTAGGAAAGACTCGAAGGAACAAATACTCTGCCAAACGACGTCGATGCATCTTTTGATGTCACGGCGCAAGGCTCTGATAGTCAACGCAATCTAATCGCGCCTACAAAAAAACTACGATGAAACGGATAATTGTCTTGAACATACCCAAACCCTCTACGACCTGCAGTTCTTTCTGAAGAATTGACATTCGACGGAACGATTAACGAGGATGTGAAGAGCATTCCAAAGAATTCGCTGATTTTCCAGCATACACATAGATGGGGCGATGCTGCAGCGTGTGTGTTCACCAGTCTTCCAACACCACAGACCGAAATCGTGAGATCCGTATGTGTAACGACCAGGCTTGATGCTTAGAAATCACGCGAGACGTATGCGTATTCGACTGTCACCCCAATACTAACGCGGCACAGGAGGGAAACACGACCGGTCACGAAAATTTAATTAAAACCCTGAAGATCGTTCTAACTGGAAAAATAGCAAGTATTAATAACACCCTATTGGGGTTCTCAACTGTAGGTGAGCAGTGTTCCATAGGGTTCTGCTTTAGACTAACTGCTCTTCCTGACCTATGTGAATGAACGTACAAGGTAATTGGGTTGTGAGGCTTTCATGTTTGCCGACGAAATAAAATATGAGCTGAAGTTAACTGTGACGTCGCAAATAACTTGCAATCAAACATTTGAGAACTTGGCATCCGACCGTGTACAGCGATATTATCCTTCGCCCCACCTGGGACGATCAGGACTTGCGTACCTGCCTGAAGTTACGCACTAGAGCCGTGCGCAAAAATAATTTTCTGTACTTCTAGAAAAGATTTAATCAGAAAAGTGAGTCAGACAAAGTTTGTTTACCAGTGTAGAGACCAAGGACGTCAACGATAGCACACACCGAGGTAACGGAGCACTAGGAAGAGATCCTGGCTAAGACTAATCTAATGAAAATCGTTAACGCCTCACGATACCCAACCATACGAAAGGAAAGGAGACACTTTCGGTAGGTAGTAGGGTATATAGTGAAGAGAGGGGAACTGGAAATACATGCTATATTAGTTAATTGCACAAATGGGATGGGCTACAACAAGATAATAACTTGCTGGTATGAGAAGGTGACATTGACATGTCTGTCGGGAAGGCCGAGGGACGTTCCGACGTATAAAGAGGAAGAAAGAAACGAATGTTACGGCGAGTTTCGGGAAGGGGATCCGCGGCAGAGAGAGGGAAGGGCACCGGCCAATTTCACCGATACGCAGTTACACCATCATTACTCTAGGTCCGCGTGAGAAGTGCCGCATCGTTCAAACAACTGTAAACAGTCCGTGGCACGTTACACCAGCACAGTTTAACTGACAACAGTCAATTTGCTCCTCAACCACCTAGGAAAGGCAAAGAGTTCAGCATTTTTGAAGATCCGAAATTATCCAAATCTTTCGAGTCTTGCAAATGACTGAGTCGTTTCTGAATATATTTCCTCCAGTTTGTCAATTTTTAGAGCAACTCCGAACAAACAGGAGCACTGTTAGTTTATCCAGTTTTAAATAATCGTCTAACTTCAACATACACCCTCCGAAGTAGTCATTAGGGTATACAAAACGAACATATATCCACGTTGTTAGTCCGGCGTCCATTGGCTCTTTGGGGTTTTACAGTAACAGTACGACCGTAACTAGCATTTTGTTTGGAGAAGAGTCTGCTGAGATTAGCTCCGCATTCGGGGTCTTTGCTCGTTATATTTAGACCTGCAGCCGGGGACATCCTGTTTCAACTTAAAAACTCAAAAAGAAAGTGACATATTTAAAGGCGCTCTTAGAACAGAAGAAGGATGGGCAAATAGATGTTAATGGAGTTAGAGTTAAGAATGCAAATCGTAAAACACAAAAAGTTCAAAGAGATATAGTTTCATGAACATCTTAGTGTACGGGTGGTGACCCTTTAAGTGTAGAAGTAGGTATCGATAGTGGCAGGACAACGGAAACGTTGTTTCTAATAAGGGCTGACCGGGTTTGTGAGCAAGACCGAGACGAGGACAAAAGTATTATCTGTCGTAGCTCATAATGTCATTGATTCTAATTTCCCATCACCCGCAAATGAAAACGACCAGATTTCTCTTGTACGGAAAGATGATGTTACTAGGTTATCCGGTCTATCATTGTCGTTGAGTTCCCTTAACTATCTTTGTTGTTCTATAGAGTAGTCAGATGAAATCGGAGATAGGCATTCGTGGTTAGGCGTATGGGGAACACTATAAAACGAGCGTGAAGTCAGCATCAATCCTCGTTGATATCTCGAGGTATCCAGTCGACAACATGGCCGGAAGTAAAACAAGCTATCATTTTAATCGTTTGAACTCTGAATTTTCTCAGGGCTTCGTGGAGTCGAGTGCTCGTGTCTCGGAAGATTGCATTTCCACTGACGTTAACGTGTTTTAACATATGCTGAACATTATGCTTATCTGAAATGAGAAAGTGACAGTTTGTGTTGTTTTGAGGATCTTAAAAAGGGGTTACCCAACTATCGGAAACTCGGAATCATGTTCTATTTAGATTGTTTTTATTAACTTGCATCTGTCTAGAAAATCCAGCCTATGAAACTCTCATAAGGAGATTTTTCAGCCGGACTACACTCCAGCGCAGCGAGTGAAACGCCGGAAATCAGTGGTTGAATTGGAAAGGATACTTGCATATGGGGATGGTAGCTTAGTTTTTTTCAGGTGACGGACAATACAGAGAAACACGGTGTTGTCGTGGCACCAACCAACGCTAATATTAGTAGCGGCAACGTAGTAATGGCAAGCTGTAGACTAATTGAACAAAACGCTGCAAATTATTTAAGCTAGAGTTCCTGTTAGTCAATGTCCGGTGTCTGTTTCGCAGATCAGCAGACTGAAAATACATATAGGCGATATATCTCCAAAAACAATGCGGCTGTCGCAGGGCATCGGTGATTGAGAAATGGCACTATCAGGATACAAACTAGCTAAGTGAGGAAGAAAGAAATGCCAAGGTGGAAGAGTTGCCAAGTAGTTAAGGAGCAAATAACTGCATGTGAGATGACCGAGAAGATTACTGACAATACGGAGTCTATTTGGCTAACGATAAAGACACGGAGGTCATTGTACTTGAAGCCGTGGCTATCAACCTATCACCGAGGATGAATCCTGACGCAGAAACTTGCCTGCTGGAAAACATAAAGAACATCGCTAGTCGACCTCATGTTGTTCCATGAGTGACTTCAATATACACGGCCTTCGGTGGAAAAATAGGCGGACGAACTACTCGAAGTGTGGCTTCGATCGATGTCTCCTAAAGACAACACTTGAGACATTCCTCACAAAGCATTTTCTAGGTTAACCATGAGGGCGTAGAGGGCAACATGCTGGCTGCTTGGATCTCGTCTCCACAAAAGATACTGACAATATACATCAGTTATAATGCCTACCTCCCCTTGGTCGAAGTGAATATGCAGTACTTCTATGAAGTACTGCCTATACACTGTGCACTATGAAATAAAGAAAATAAGGCAAAAGATATTACAAGAAGACATTTTCAAAGCGAGGGCTCAGACATTTCGGATAGACTAGGATGCTTTCTCTTCCGAAACGTTACCGAGGACTGGGAGTTATTCAGGGAGCTCTTATTGCCTATCAGAAAAAGCTACATCCCCTTATCAGCTCTCAGAAAACCTGAATGACCTCATTGGCTAACAAGGGACCTGAAAATGGAGGCCAATGAGAAAGTAAGGCTTCTGAAGAAGTTTTGCAAAAACAACGTTGGCACAGACTTTAAAGAATGCAGAGTCCAATTAAACAAGTTTTAAAAGTCAGTTTTCGGCAGACGACAAAGTCGAGAAGGTACACCGATTTACCGAGTCATTAAAAAACCCAAACTGTCTTACAGATACTAGCAAAAAAGGACGTACTAGGAATTCCATCCCTGTTTTGAGACATGAGGACCGCCTCAAGATATTGTATAGTAGAATCAAAGCTGAAAATCCTTCTCGATCCTTTTGATCCGTCCCCACAAGGGAGACAGATTTCATTCAGCCTAGTTACGAAAACATGGTAGTATCAATTCGCAAGCATATTCCGTTCCGAGAAGAGTTGATTTTAAATGATTTAAAACTTAACGAAATGCAAATTCCTGGTCCGAAAAAGATTTCGAAACTGACCTTTGAAGTTGCCCGACAGCTGGCAAAGCTATTGTTTGTTTTTCACCAGAAGTCTTTCAGTGCTGGAATTTTTCCCAAGTGTTGGAATACAGTCCCACCTCAGAAATACGCGCAAACAGTTTTTTTCAACCGGACTACTCACCAGCGGAGCGGCTGAAACGCTGGGAACTAGTCTTGGAATTAAAATCGAAACTGAGTGATGACGAACACAATCTGGCTATCTTTAAAGGGAACGTAGTCCGGAAAAACATGCAGTTTCGGTGGAACCAGCCAGTAATACTAGGGACGAAGGCAGCTACTCAACTAACACCCTACGCGCGTCCTTCGAATTTGAGTGGAATCCCCAGCTCTCCGAGTTTTCGCTGATTTTATTTGGTAGTATAGGGCAGACTGACCTTCGCGTGGAAATAAACTGCGAACTGACAACGCATCCTTTGGATTTGGATTTTGAGTACACAAACTCCAAAGTTCTACCATTCTTAGAATTTTCGGACCTCGACGTTATTTCCCACGGTATCCGGAGGAAGATTCTGCTCGAATTCTCCAAGGAACAGAACCACTAATTAGTCCTCTCATTCGCACCGGTGAAGTATACCACAAATTCGCCATCAACAGATATTTTCAATCGTCCACCCATCTGTGCAAGGCTCCCTACTTGACGACTTTTCTCCGAGATCTACATCGAAAACTATAATCGGCTGAGTCGTTTCCTAGTTAACTTCCTAATTGGCAAAATCTTTATTCTAACAATTGCTGAAAACATCCTGCACTACTCTAGAACTGATTGACGACTTTGAAAACCATCAGCAATGAGCCAGTCAGCTATAAAAAGCGCGTTCACAAAAGTTGTCAAACCGGGATTTGAACTCCTTACCTGCGGATCCGGAGGCCAGAGTGTTAACCACTACAGTACCGATGAAAGATCTGACGCTGGTCAGATAAGTTTGTTAACTACAGAAGAGCAGCTGAGAACGGCCTTTAATTCATTAGCAGTCTAATACGATAAAATGCCTCTGGAATCATTGGAGGCCAGGGGGCTTAAGCACAATAGGCTCCACGAGGCAAGACAGGAAATAAGAACCGATTCACTGCCAAGAGGACTTGAAAGCTGTATGACAGACGGGGCGGATTCTGCGCTTGTCGGTTGCTATGTCGGCTGTGAGAAACTTGGAAAGCGAGTCCAGACGATAGAAGAGAAGCAGGGTCTACTGACGGACATCATTACGGCTATTCTGAAACACGGTCAAATATAATTATTCAATAATCCGCCAAATTTCCGATCGATAGGCGACGAACATCCTACATATAAAGTCATTGTCGCGGAAAACTCGATTACAGTCAGGAAGAGGAGGCGAGTTATGTCTCCAAGGGAAACTCCAGACATATCAGTGTTGGTAGTGTTCTTTAGATTCAGTGCTGTTTTGTTCACCTGAATAGACGCACCCGAGGTCAAAGCTATGTCAGAAGACAGTCAGGATAACTCGGTTATTCTTTGTGGTTCTATAGAAATAAACAGTAAGATTAGCGGAGCACAATAGAGTTAATAAGGTAGGGGATAAATTGAAAGTGGACGTACATTCGAGGTGACAAGACGAGCAGTCAGCGAATGACGCCAAAGTGTGATGGTCGGTTTATAAGCGAGCGGCAACAAAGAGCAATAGACAATGGACAAAGAACAATGAACAAGGAATGACGAGACCCGACTAATAGGGATACAGAGACAAAGACAGGGTAGCATGGTTAAAGTATGGTTACTAACAAACGGTTAGTAGCAAGGGGAAACACAAGAATATAAATTGACATCAGGGATGTCACAATCAGTTCCGGTAGATAGCGTGGCGGTCGACGCTTATTCATTAAAAAATAAGTCAGATTTCATTACCTGTTACAGTAACTAAACCTGCTAAATCAGCGAACACTAAAGTTGGGAAAGACAGGGTGACCCTCAGAAGATCCGTTAGAAAGTACAAGGACTCGCCGTTATTCTTGGAAGGTAACGCTGTTTCTCCACTTCTTCACAAGGCTAACTCAACTGGGAAGTGCCCTAACCATTCCGTTGATTGAAAAGGACACGATAAGCCTTCGTGCAGTAAATTGCAATAGCGTAATGATTGCAATAGCTCCACTGCCGGAGCAAAAACGTCACATGAATATCCATGCCCTATACCCCCTTCACCGGTCTAAAATCAGTCAAATGTCGAAGTACCAACATCCGTCGCGAATACTACAGCAGAATTACATCGTACTAGCGCGGACGGGACAGTAATGAGCTCTCCCGTAAATCGTAAGCAAACTATTGTCATAAGGGGCGCCCCAGAGTCCACGTCCTGCATTCCGAACGAACGAGTGACGCACGACCAAGACCTTCTTTATCAGTACGCCAGCTCCGTCCTGAAGGATGGGGAAATATTCACCGTTAAAAAGCTTTCAGACTAGGTAAAGCGGACCCAGATCCTGACCTAAAAACATCCCCAAGACCCCTTAAAGTTATTTTAGAAAACGAAGCCCAAGCAGCGCTTCTGTTAGAAAGAAGAACGACCTTACGCAACTCGTACAAGGAAGTGTTTTTTCAACCAGAATACGAACAGAAGGATAGACTGAAAATGAGAGAATTGAGATCAGAATTGCAGAGAAAATTGGCAGAGGAGAGAAAGGGCTGAAGATTAAAAATGTTAAAATAGTCCAGACAAAGCGGTCTTCACTGTGGTCAGAAACTGTCACAATGAAGGCCGGGCCTCTCCAGCGAAACAGTCATTGAAGGCTATCTCCGCAAATGTGCAAAGCCTCTTCCACAAACTAGACGAACTAAGGGACTTAGTTGATGAAATTAAACCAGACATAATGGCATTCACAGAAACGTAGCTTACAGAAGATATCGCAGATTCAGAAATATCACTTAGAGGATATCAGCAATTCAGGAGAGACAGGCTAAGCCGAGGTGGAGGAGTCATAAGTTATGTCACTTGCAAGCTGAGCGCTATGGCTGATGTAAATAGTCTGGTACGGGATGTGGAACTGCTAAGCGTTACCATATCTGCTAAGAATGTCCGATCACTGACTTTTTCGGTGGTGTACCGTTCACCTAACCATACTCCTGACCAAGATCTCATGCTCGTAACTGAAGTTAACAAAGTCAGTGGGAAGAAAGATGTCCTTATCGTTGGGGATTTTAACTCTCCTGGCATTGATTGGCTAACGTGGACTGCACAAGGGCCGCAAGAGAGCTTTAATCACAAACTACTACAATGGGCAACGGAAAACTTCTCTGCCATAATGTTACCTTTGGAACACGGGTCAGGGAAGGACAGCAGTCAAACTGCCTTGATCTTATTTTTACCCGAGAGGAGGAAAATGTGTTAGACCTGCAGGACCGACCGCCTTTAGGGTCCAGCGACCACATCACGCTCTACTTCGAGTACTCACTGTTTTCCAAACCTGTTCAACCCGATAGGTGGGAGAGAAACATTTGGAAAGGGGACTTTTCTCTCATGAGGAGGGAAGCGGCAGCTGTATCATGGGAGACTGAACTGCATGGTCGAGCAAGCGACAACTGGAATACTTTCAGTTTTTTACTGAAGGAGATTATTTATTCCAATTGTCCTCACAGAAGAAAGACAATCACAAACCGCCCAAAAATTGATAAACCCGGACTTAAAGACCTCTTTCAGAAAAAGGAATCGTCTGTGGAGGCGTTACAGACAAATTGGCTCCGAGGAACACTTACAGGACTTTAAGCAGCAACGAAACGTTTGCAAAAGTGAGGCCTCAACGCTGCGAAGGAAGTTTGAACTGAACATACTTCGAAATTCGTTGGAGCATCCGAAAATTCTTTATGGTTATATACGAAGTACTAAAAGGACTCAGGAGCTGATCCCTGTCCTTAGGTCTGCAGGTGGAAAAGTGGAGACTGATGACCAGGTGAAAGCGTCCCTTCTTTCCGACTTCTTTCAGTCCGTCTTTATCCCAGAACCTAGTTCCATATTTGTCTGTCCATCCATTTGCCAATCAACCTCTCCTCCCAGTACCCTTCCCCTCCTTTCCCCTCCCTACCCTCCTTAATCGAGGAGCCGCTCTCATCATCGACTATAGTTAGGGCCGAGCTACTCCGGCCGAAACCTGCCAAATCGCCTGGCCCAGATGGAATTCCCGCACTAGCACTTCGTGAACTTGCTAATGAACTGTGCAAACCCTTATCCGCAATATTTCAAAAGTCATTTGAAGATGGCGAGCTCCCGGAAGAATGGAAGTGCGCACTCGTTACTCCGATCCATAAAGGAGGCTAAAGACTTGACTGTGGAAATTATCGTCCCGTCAGTCTTACTTGCATCGCCTATCAAATAATGGAACGCATTTTCAAACGACACTTGGTGAAATACCTGGAACAGAACCAAATATTGTGTGATGCCGAACACGGCTTTCGTCCAGGGCGCTCCTGCCTAAAGAGTGTCCTTTACTCGCACGAGAAATGGACACGAGCTACCGATAAGGGTTTTCCAGTGGATGTCATATTTTTTGACTTCAAGAAGGCCTTTGACGGTGTCCCACACAGGCTTCTTTTACAGAAGATCTGGGATATAGGAATTCAAGGAAGAATGTTCGAATGGAACAGAAGTTTTCTGTCCTCCAGAATACAAATAATCGTCATCAGCAACTCTACGTCGGGCTGAGCAAAGGTTCTGTCTAAGGCCCAGTACTCTTTCTGATTTATGTTAATGACTGCATCAGTGAAGTGAATTACGAGACCCTCATGTTCGCGGATGACATAAAGAACATGGAGTGAAGTCAAGTGTGATGAGGACGCAGAGAAGTTGCAGTCCAACATCGACAAACTGTGTGCTTGGTCGAACAGATGGCTTTTGAAGTTTAATATGTCCAAATGCGTAGTCTTGCACCTGAATACCGGCCGCAATGCCTCTCCGAAGCACCAGTACTATATTGACGGGACGAGGTTAGAAACGGTGGAAAGACACAGAGATCTGGGTGTATGGACGACCACAAATCTATCGCCATCAGAACACTGTAGAAAGATGGTCCAGAAGGCAACTAGTATTCTACACTGTATCAGACGTGCATTTTAAATATTTCCTCCCGAACTCTTTGAAAGACTCTTTGGCGTCTTTGTAAGACCTCATCAGGAGTATGGAATGCCAGCAGCTTCACCATGGATGAGGAAGGTTATCGACTTACTCGAACAGGTTCAACGCAGAGCGACAAAAATGGTCGACGGTCTAAAGCATTTGTCTAATCAGGAGAGGCTGAATTTGTTTGGCTTATTCCCCCTTTCTTATAGATAAATAAACTGCAGACTACATTGGACGTTCCGGATTGTCCGCGGACAGAGTTGCTCATTAAGATCAGGGGACTTCTTTGAGTTTGCCCGTACAAACCAACTACGCGGCCATACCTACAAAGTCGAGAATGAGCGCACATGCTAAGATCGTCGAAAATTTTCATTCGGCTAGCGGGTTGTCCTACTGTGGAACTCGCTTCTAAGCGAGATGATGACGGCTGACACCATTTGTTTGTTTAGAAGAAAACTTGCTCGTCTAGTTTTCGACAGAAGTCGGCTTTTACAGCATGACTGTGCACAGCCGTTTTTGTAAAATCCCTCCGCAATTATTTACAGCGACCTTATGCACTACCTTATGATTACGATTGAACTGTGACTCGATCACATTGTAAATGCCTGTAATTTTATTTTTGAGTACGAGTCTGCGAAAGCACTGTACATAAATAGGATCATCAAGGGCTCTGTTTCCAACCCTCCAAATATATATACAAATAACACAGACTGTTAGGACGGCCCAGTCGTCCGGGGGTCACGCCTGACAAAGAACCGCAAACTCGCCGGACAGCCTCGCCTAGGAAGCCCACATGCAAGCCAGACATTTGCACGCCACTGAGTCATGTGCGACCTCCAGGGGCCAGCAACACGCGAGCGCCTGCCCATGCGGGCGCTCAGGACTGGACCAGTAGGAACACGCAAACCAGACGAAGGCTGAACCCTTAAATACGAAGCCACGGACGGAAGGACTAAGAGTTGATGTACACAGGGTGACTGACGCAGTAAAGCTGTTCTCTCCTATCCTGTCTGTCTTCTATTCCGCACAGAACTGGCGTCATACTAATTGGGGATATAACGCAGACAACTTCGTAGAACCAGCCGCTCGAAGGGACAATACAAGTAAGCCCTTAACGACCAGTGTTCTGACTGAAGCAACGGACATTAATGGAACTCATCAAGTAACTGAAGAGCCCAGAGAAAATGGCGTCCGAGATAACGCAGTTATGCGCAAAACAGCGACAAATGCAGCCGGAAATTCGGCTGCTAAAAATTGAGGTGCATGTACACAAATGCTCAAAGTCTCGTATCGAAACTAGACGAGCTAAAACTGTGCCTTGCCGAACTGTCTGCGGATTTCCTAGCAGTAACCGAGACCTGGCTGTCAGGGAATATTAGCAATAACGAAATAGCCTTTCCTGGATATCAAATTTATCGGAGGGACAGGGAATATCGTCGTCGTTGTGTCTGTGAATGACGGCCTGACAGTGTCGGAAAACACCATCAAGCTTGCGTGCAGCACGAAAGCTTTTTGGTTTACCATCAAGGCTACTGGTTCCCCTAGTCTCGATGTACTCACTATCTGCCGACCACCTCGGAGAGACCAAATCGTCGACACTCAAATATTTGAGCAATCAGAAATGTTTTCCTGCCGACCAATCATCATGGTCATGGGCGACTTCAACTCACTGGGAATTAACTGGAACACCCTCCACGCGTCAGATCCAAAATCGACATTCGATTACCGTCTACTGAACAAAACATTAAAGGCGTCCCTCACACAGCATGTAATGTTCCGCACGAGAACACGTGAAGGACAAAGGGAAAACTGCCTGGATCTGGTTTTTACGAAACCACCAGGCAGCATAGTCGAGGTCACTTTTATGTCGCCCCTTGGCCGAAGTGACCATGTAGTGCTTATTTGGGATTCTTCGCTATACGCCATTTCGCAAACTCTAAACCTAAAATGACGCAATGCTTTGTGGAGAAACTGTAAACAGAGGAGGGCAGCCTTATCCGGTCTCGACTAGAGTTCATTGTTTACGAGTAATGTCAACGATGACTGAGAGTTGTTCAAGAACGTCTTTCTGCAGCTCATCAACAATTTGTGGAGAAAATACTGCGTCACAAGGCAAGTTGAATATTTCAACACCTACAAGACACAGAGGAACAAAGTGAGAAACACGAGTATAAAATCGTGGCGGAAGTTCGGAATTTGCTACAAAAAAACAACGCAGAACCCAGAATTACTCTACAACTACCTCCGATGAAGTACAAAGAACAGACATCAAATCTCCTTAATAAGGACTACTGATGGCGTTAAGATTGCTGATAGTAGGGATAAAGCTGCTTATATTTCACAGCTTTTCCGATCAGTCTACGCAGACTATGCAGGGTTCCTTCCTCAGCCCATAGAACAGCTGCCCACCCAAAGCGTCAGTGATGTACTTTCGAAGAAGGCGTCGCCCGAAGAGAATTAGAGGCATTTAATGAGTCGAAGTCGCCAGAGCCGGACGAGATTCCACTCAAGTTTCTCAAGGAACTTGCAATTGAGTTTCTTGTGCCTTTGTCGATGTTCTTTCAAACGTCATTTGAAAGTGGAACACTCCCTATCGATTGGAAGCTGGTGCGCATTACTCCGCTATACAAAGGAGGCAGCAGGGCAGCGACGGCAAATTGCAGGCCCATAAGCTTGACATTTATCCTCTGCAGTTATGGAAAGGATCATAAAGAGTGAACTGATGCATTTCCTGGAGGTTCACGGCCTGCTATCGAAATGTCAACATGAGTTCCGGAAAGGAAGATCCTGCACGACAAACCTGATGCAATCTCTCCATAGTTGGACCCGAGCTCTCGACAACAGGCACGCGGTCCATATAGCTTTCATTGGCTTCCAGAAGGCGTTCGACACTGTGCCACACCAGAGGCTGTTACACAAACTGAAAAATATAGGGATCAGCGGAAACTCCCTCGGGTGGATCGAAAACTTCCTTGTGGGTCGACAGCAGATGGTGTGCATCGGTCAATGTAAATCAGATCCTGCTACGATCGAGAGGGGTGTTCCCCAGTGTTTAGTACTGGGACATATTTTGTTCCCTATATACGCGGACGACGCTGCAGGAGCTTAAGACTGCGACGCAGCAATGTTTGCCAATGACATGAAGCCATGGAGTGTAATTCGGGACCCTGCCGTCGAAGACAGACTCTAGATGAATCGAAATCGGTTGGGAGAGTGGTCAAACCTTTCGTTCCTGCGGTTCAACGTTGGCAAATGTAGCATACTTAGCCTAGGCAACACAGCCAGGTCCGCCAGCGCAAGGGACCACTTTCTGGGCGGTGAAGCATTACGAGGCGTCGAAGTCCAAGAGGACCTCATTGTGCTGACAACTAGTTCCCTAAAACCATCCGCTCATTGTTCGAGAGTGACAAAGAGAGTAATGTCCGTATTGTACGCCATCGAGCGTGCGTTTATGGATTTTGACGAAGACGCTTCCTCTAAGACTTTTCGAGCATTCATGCGGCCACACTTCGAGTACGGCATAAAGCCTGGAGACCGTGGGCAGTTGAGAACCAAAACTGCCTCTAAAAAGTTCAGATGAGAGTCACAAAGATGCTTAGGGGTCAAAGCTCCTTTCCTTATGCAACCTGCCTAGTAAATCTAAGTCTCTTCCCTTCGAGTTACAGACAACTTCGCGGGGATCTCTTGCAAGCATTCCGCATTGAAAAGGGATTGAA